CCAGATACAGCCATTTTCTCTTCTACAATATAATATGCAACCCTCTTATTCAGAAATTTCATGATTTTTTTTTTCCTGCCCAAGACACAGATTGGAAAGAGGCATTTTCAAAGCCTGCCAATGCTGTCACCAGGTGCCTGTGGGGGTGGGAGTGACTGTCAGCAAGCAGGGCACTTGCCGTGGGAGGCTGAGAAGGACTCGTGGGCTCCTGCTGGGGCCAGGGAGCTCTGGATACTCCAGTTGGTGAGGAAGGCAAGAGGCTAAAGCCACAAACGACCCAGTCATTCTCCTGAGGGTGTGAGGAGGCAGCATCCCTTCAGCCACTGATCAGCAAATCAGAAGCCTCCAGAGGCCACACACACCCGTAACCATAGAAACCAGCTTTCTGGACCACTCCTCTCAATCAAAAAGAATGCACAGGCGGACCCTCCTCTGGGGAGGGTGTGGAGACTGTCACATGCTGCCTACCCCTGGGCTGACCCTCTGGTGGGTGGGCGGAGTGCTCAGCACAGAGAAAGGCACTTCTGCTGGACTCCGCAGACCCAGAGGCCTGTCCCAGTTCCTCAGAAGCCACCAGCAGGAGCAGCAGGGAGCCAAGCTTGAAGAAGCAGGGGCCCTGGGGCCAGTGACAAGCAGAGCTGGCTTCGGTCTCCAAGTGCTGGCCTCCTCTCTGGTACCGTATGAGAATGACGCTCACCTCCTCTCTGGTGGTGAGGGCAGTGATAACGTACAGAGGTGCTTCTGCTAAAGGATGGCTTCCCAGGGTTGGGTCTCAGGGAGGAAGTAGATCCTCAGTCCATCCCGCTCACATCCAGGTTTGGCTTCTCTTGTCCTCTCTGCAGCTCTGCAGTAACCGCCCATAAAGCAGAGCAGGGAGCACTCAGAGAGGCGTGGGTGTCCGGGTGTTATCGCAATAGAGGGCCCACGCTGCCGACTCCCATTGCCCCATCACCATATGGCTGTAGGACCCAGGCTCATGGCAGGGGGGGCCGAATGCAGCAGCCAGGCAGGGACTCCCAGGCTGGTCCTCTACCTCCTTGTCAAGGCGCTGCTGCAGCTCGCAGTGAGGGCCAAGGGAGCAGTAAAATCCCCATTTGCCACAATTAACGATGAGTAATGAAAGGGCCCTGGCAGCACTGTCGACCTCTGCGCTCCCCTGGCACACACCTCTGCCTCCGCTGAGAGCCAAGATCTGGACAGCAACCAGCAGAGCAGGCAGCACGCACAGCTGCCTGGAGACACCCTTGGGATCCTGCTTGGGGAAGCTCATTGCCCTGCTTCTCCTGCCTGCAATCCCGGCTGCCTGTGAGCTTAGTGTGGAGCCCGTGTCCCTGAGGAGAGGCCCTTGCTTAGTCTCTAAAGAAAGAGGAAGTAGGAATGGTCCCTAAACATGAGGGCGGAGGAAGGAGAGAAGAAGGAAATGGCATTGCCGGGACAGGAAGGAACCATTGCCATGGAAAGCTGGCAGTGTGGCTGGACAGAGGGTCCGGAGGGCACTGGACAGGAGGGACGGAGACAACCAGAGGCCCCATAGGCCCTGGGGTGGACTTTGGCACTGGGTTGGTGTGACTTCTTTCTTCTGCGTGGGCGGAACCTTGAATATTCTCCTAGATTCCAGCAGCATTTAAAGGCAGCTGTAAGTAGCCATACTTGCCTGGAAATGAGCCAGGGTCAGGTCCTGAGCCGTGGTCTGGTAAAATGCCCAGGCTGTTTGTTTGCATGAATATCGCACATAAGAGGATTAGTGGCAGCCTGAGCCTTCTAGTGGTCCCGAAGACCAGGGGTTAGAGGAGCATAGAGGACAGCCGAGCTCCAGGCACCCCGCCAGGAAACACCCTGCCTCCTCTGAAACAGCAAAGAAAGGGTTCAGCGCCCATGGGCTCGAAGTGAAAAGAAATTCTCAACCAGACCGAAAGAGCTGTTTCCTCAAAACATTTCCATCCCATTCACTTAATCAAATCTGCTTTATGTAGCACAAAATAAACACAACCCTAATAAGCAGGTCTGAGCTGCAGCTGAATTATCACAGATTCCAGCCTCGGTGTCCCCAGAGAAGGCCCAGCATCTCCCTGAGAGGCCCTGTTGGTTTGCAGGATCACTTGCCTCCAGGTTCCATGCAGCTTGCTGGAGGAAAGGCCTGCAGGGTCTGATCCACACCCACACCCTGGCTGGGCTGGGCTGCTCAAGACAGAAGGAGTCATGTGATATACGGGTATCCCAGGCTGGATCACCTGCTAAGGAAAAGGTAGCTAGTGCACACCTTGCTGAAAACCAGAAGTGGCAAAGATCTTTATTTCTCCCAGTTCTGGAGGCCAGAAGCCCCACAGCAGGATGCAGAATGGCCCAGGATCTGGTGCTGGCCCGATGCTGGCCGAGACTGCCTTCTTCTCAGTGCCTTTGCACAAGGTGGGCAGAAAGAGAGAGCTCTCTGCATCCCTTTTATAAGAGCACAAATCCCATTCCCAAGGGCTGTGCCTCACGCCCAAGCCCAATCATCTTCCAAAGGCCCCACTGACAGGGAAAGCGTAAGGAAACCATACGACTTTTTTGTTGTTGTGTTGTGTGGGACACATTCAGTCCATCGCAGTTATTACTGTTAAATTATCCGTGTTCTAGGCTTTGTTCGGGGGATACAGGAGCAGATAAGTTAGATGTAATTTCAGCTTTCATTAAATTTACCATTTATCAGAAGAAAGAAATGCTAAACAAGTAATAAATGTTTGTTGAAGGGTCAAATAAGTGAATGACCTATGTGATTATTTGGTCACAGCTGTGAAGGAAAAGCCCAATGGACAGTGGGGGATCTGGTTATGACTAAGGACATCTAGTGACAGCCATGGCTCCAAGACAGAGGTCTGAGCTGTAGCAGGGACCAGTGCTGGGCAGGGTACAGGCAGAAGGTGCCCACAGAAAGCTGCCACACTGGCTGGGTGCTTCTCAGGGAACCCAGAGACTGGATTTAATCGGGGAAAGGGTCAGATCAGGAGGGCATCTGATCCGTGTGCTGAACGCAGTGGTGAAGTCACCCACGCCGAGGAGATGAGCAGAAGCCACGTGTGACAAGTAGTGAGCGTAGCTGACAAGGGCAGGTCCCTGAGGCTGCCCAGGGAGCCCCCTCGAGAGCCTGTGTTGGGGTGTGGAGGGGACAGAGGAGCAGTAGTAAGCAAGGCCCATGCCCCTTTTCTCTTGGACCTTGGGGAAGAGGCTGGCCTTTCTCCTGGACCACAGGGAGCCATGCAGGGGCTGCCACCAGAGCCCCCTCCAAGGACTTTGGGACCCCCGTGTGCAGCACCTTCTGGCTTGTGTCTGTGAGCTCGCGCACTTCCAGCCTGCGCGCCCCACTGTACCTGTTCCTGCCCAGGGCCTGAAGCATGGCTCCTGCTTCAGCTTGCCCCTGAGTTCCATACACTCTGCAAGAGCAGGAGTCACAGCCCCTCTGCTGAGTGAGTGGAAGGCGGAATGAACAAACAGATCTCTTATTAGAGTCCCCTACGAGCCTTTCACCCAGGAGGGTTTAATATCCTTGAGTCTTGCCATGCCCAAACAAGAACAGAAGGGGCAGGGAGCCAACAGCTCACTGCAACGCTGCCTCTTGCACCTCTTCATCTCTGTGCTGCTGTCTGAGAGGCACTGCTCACCACCCCAAGGATGCCTCTTTTTGTTCTCACACAGAGCATCCTATCACTCCTGGTGGACGCGATCTTCCCATGGCACCGGCTACACACCTCCGTCGCAGCACTAAGACTCCAGCTCTCGCCACATTTCAGTTCCTGTTGCTTCACAGCATGTCTCCACCAGTAGATACCCTCAGCTATAACAGAATTCCACCCATGGATCCTAACTGGCTTTCTCATACCACGGTGATGCCATAGGACCCTGATGGGAAACCATTCCTTTGGAAGCCTCCACCAGCTGGGGCAACATCTGGATAAGGCTGTCCAAGAGCCCCTTTCACCTGTGGGGACTTGACCTGGAATTCTGGAATGACCTTTCTAGTCTCCGGCGTTAAAAATAACTCAGTCACTTGTTGGCAGGTGGGACTGGGATCGGTTTGGGGTGTGTGACACTGAACTTAGTGCCAGGATAGATGGGCAACTGGAGGACACTGTTTTGCTTAATTCTCTCAACCATTATGCTATCACCATTTTCACTTAAAAGATGAAGAAATTGAAACCTAAAGAGGTCTGGCAACTTTCCAAAGGACAAGTAAGCCGTTAGGCTCAAACAGGAAAACTTGAATCAGGGCAATGGTACCCACAAAAAACAAAGGATCACAAGCTTGAGATGCTCACATGCAGAGCCCACAGGCCTTTGCAAGGCTGGCTGGGCATGTTTTCAAGATACATGTCTAAAAGGATCATATAACAATCAGGACAAACCAAGTAAGTGGCCTGTGGGGAGCCAGACGAACGGAGTTAGCATAATTCTTTGGCAACCTTTTCAACAGGACACATCCATTCTCCTCTACAAATCCCACTGGGCATTTCTTCTTATTAACTTTGCTGTATCTTCTTCTGTTCCCTAAAGTTCCTAACATTTACCCACTAATCCCACAGGAACTGTGTATGCAGTCGTCCCTTGGTAGGTGTGGGGGGCAGTTCCATAACCCTATGGGTTCCAAAATCAGTGGGTGCTCAAGCCCCCCATATAAAATGACCTAACTTGCTATACATCCTATGCCCATCCTTTTGCATACTTTAAAGCACATCTAGATGACTTACACTACCTCATATACGGTACATGCCATGCTATAGTGTTCATATTATATGACTGAGACAATGATGATAAGAAAAACGTCTGGACACATTCAATGTAGATGCAGTGTATTTTTTTCCAAATATTCTCCCTCTGCAGCTGACCAAACACTCAGAGGTTGAGTCTGAGGACATGCAGGCTGACTGTCCTCCCAGGTGCTGTAAGCGGTGGCTTTGGTCAGCTGCCCAACCTCTAGGAAATACAAGTCCTCATTTAGGTGACAATCCCAGGCCATCAGGGAGCAGCTCGGCTTCATTTCAGTCTCCATTTCTCTTGTTCTCTCTGTGCAGAGAACCATTTGTTAAACAAATTGTGAGAGGGACCAACTTCTATCTAGCCAGAGCGGCAGGTGGATCCCCCACCTTCTCCTGCCCCATGCAGCCCCTGCCCCATCATCTCAGCCAAAAGAAACAGTGAAAGTAGACATAGCTCACATTACTTTTTAACAACAGGGCAAGTTTTGGTGAAGAATTAATCACCGTGCACTAGTTAGCATGCTCCTATGGCCATGAAATCAGCCTCAAAAGAATTCACAACTTGGTCTCTGTCATACACAGCTGGGAGGGGCTCCTGTGATTTTCTGCACAAGGTGTCATAGTTCTAGACTTAGAAAACTTTTTAGAGAAAGTGGCAGTTCCTTTGGAGAACGAGGGCTGGGTGTCACCATTTCCCCACAACCAAAAACAAAAAAAAAAAAAACAATTCCTATGAATGGGTCTGAGTTCTGAATTCGGCAGCTGTTGGTGTCCCCTAGAAACCTTCATGATGATTTCAATTCTCTAAGTCCATTTCTATATGCTGATGAGATCTTACTTTATATTGCCAGCCAGAAAATTTTCTCTGAATTTTATACTCATCTCCAACAGCCTGGTTGACATCTCCACTTGCATGTCTAAGAGAGTCTGAGGCTCGATATTTTAAGACCAGACTCTTGCTGCTCTGCTCAGTACCACGCTCACCCTTCCTGGTCTCCACCACCAAAGACAAATCCATTCCTCTGGTTGCTCAGACTGGAACCCTTGAGGGAGGACCCCTCAAACCACCCTCCATCGCTCCCATTTCCTCACAGACCTCATCCAATCAATCAGCAGATCTCGAGGACCAGCCCTGTTATCAAGTCTGCTTCCCGACCCTACCCTGCTCCCTCCTGGCCCAGCCCCTGGCATTGCTGCCCTAGTCTTAACCTCCTAACCTCACAGTGTTGTTTGCACCAAGGAGAAATGGGACACTTTGCTAGGTACCAGCAGTATAAATTTTATCAGACTGTGTCCAAAGGTTTCACACTCTGGGTTGTCAAGCAACTATGTTCCATGCGGCCCAGAGGATGAGTATCTGGAAAAGTGGTCATGTGAGATCACGTGAGAAGAAATATGCATAGGAACTGGAAAGTTATATTCTGAAATGTTCTCTGGGTCCTGAAATGGTAGAGAATTTAAACACAATTCAGGCCATAACCATTGGCCAGCAAAAGAAACAACAACAACAACAACAAAAGGCGATTCAGAGAAGGGAAGATGAAAACGATGTGCCTAGCATCACTGTGTACTTGTGTCCATAGGGACAGGGACCAAGACTGTTTCTACTACTGGGTATCGCAGGCTGGCTGTCCTCTAGCCCAGGGATACCAGCATGGGAATGTCCTGTTGCTGAAGCTCAGTGACACAGTGCTGTAGCCACACAGGGTGCCACCACGCTGGGACGTGCCTGTCCACCCAGCAGGGCTGCCGAAGGTGGCACTAGCCCCACTCTGCAGTTCTCCATGCACATTGCCATGTGATGCCTGGGGCTGCTACACACTCCTCTGGCTCTGCCACAACAGTGCCTGTTCTCGGCCTTTTTTTTTTTTGGCTGAGAATAAAACCCCTTTGAATACAGCAAAGGCGGCTGATCCTCTGGGAGGGGTGAGAAGAGGGCAATACCATGACAGGAGTCAGTGATTGTGACAGCTTTGTCACAGCTGCAGCAAAACCAAGTCTTAGTTCCATAAAAGTGCCCAGTGGTCACACCTGTCACATGAGGTCTGCACAAGCAGTGTGGAATCACAGATTCCAGGCCACCCGAATTGCCATCAGTGGAGAATTATTTATAGCCCATTCTGTGCTGCTCTACAGATTTTCAAAGTAAAGCTCTTACTGGATTCCTGTTAAGGGACTTGCTCCTTTACTTCTTTTTAAAAATGTTTTTTGTTCATTAAGTTTATCGGTACATTTTAGGTATACAATACGATGATATCATCATTGGGATCTTGCACCTTTACATGATGTATCTTGGTCCTTACTTTCTCCCTGTTCCCTGGCCCTCCCTTTAACCCCTCCAGCCCTCCCATTCGCTCCTTTACTTCTTACTGGCCACAGGTTGGACCCCCCTCCTCACAGTGTCACCCAAAACCGCGTCTCGGTGTACGTACTTGATTACTGCACCAAGGAACCGCATATGCCAGCCCGATGGTGGCTTGGTGGGGCCTGGGAAGGGCGGCTGGAAAACTTTCTCTGACACAGACAAGGTAAAGGATGCCCAGCTCTTCCAAACTTCTATTCTGTCCTGACAAAGGTTAAGCCAGAAAGTAGTTTGCATCTAAGTCTAAATCATTCACGGGTTCAAACCAGCCATTTCTCCCCAGTTTAATTAAAGTAAAAAGTTCTCAGGGGATGATTCAGCCTGCTGCCCAGGCTCGGGCTCTTTCTTTTCCCCTCTCCCTGCCCACCCTCCCTCCACACAGCCTCCCTCTCAGGCTCTGCAGCCACACAGGTGCTGTGCAGCTTTCCCCTGCAGTGCTGGCCAGGCTTCCACCTGCCATGACTGGTTCCAGCCTCGGCTTCCACTCCACTCCCAGGCCCTGGACTCAGAGGCTGCCCAGAAAGGAAGCTGCCAGCTATGGTTTGATTCACAGCAGACAGAAGAGGCTGTTTGCAGACAGGAGCCTGGGCACTGCCACCTGTCCTGTGGCCCCAGACACTCACCCTTTCCTGCCTCTTGGGAAAGATGCCTCTGGGTCTCCACAGAATGTCCCGTCCCAGGGAGACAGCACTCCGGGGAGCAGAGGGGTCTTCCAGTGGGAAGGGAGCAGAGCTTGACTATTTCCTTTGGAAGCTGTCCAGGCGACACAGTATCACAGACTGGGCTGGGGTACAAAAGGCATTAGGCAGGGACCCCAGAGGGCAGTGTGCACAATTCTGGCCTCAGACTCAGAACGGTATGGCAGGGAGCTTTGGATGGGACTTTGTTCTTCGGTTTTGGAGTAATGTGCAAAATGCCCTGGTCGGGAGAGAAAGGCTGGTGTTGGGCCAGATGTCAGGGCCTGAGGCTGGGGAGGGGCTGGGCTGCTCTACAGGGTCCCCCGGGTTGAGGCCCAGTGGAGCCACCACCAGGGAACTGGACCTGGGTGACAAGGGCAGTGGTTCCCTTGTTCTGGCACCTGGCGGAGGGGGGCTAGGGACTGGCAGAAACAGCAGCTACTGCTCCATGAGACGTAAACAGCGTCTGCTTGCAGAACCTTATGGACCAGAAAGCCCGCAGGAACAGCTCCCAGTGTCCTTTCATTGTGCCCCTCTTGTCCTCCTTACTCTTAAACAATAATAGCAGCTTTATCGATACGGAGCTGGGCAACCCTCAACACAACCAGTGTCAGAGGATTTTCATCCCCACACTCCCCACCACAACCCCCCTGCAGTCCTTAGCACTCACTCCCTCTTTCCTCCCACCCTCCCCAGCCTTAGACTGGCCTGCCCTGGGTGCTTTCCATAAGCCTACCTGGAGCCTAGTTTAAGCACCTTGGGGTGTGTCCCCCACCTGGGCCCTTGGTGTGGCTGGGCTGTCTACGCAGGGGCAGGGGATAAGGACATAGCTTTAAACTTCACCTGTTCCTCATCCATGCCTTTCTCTGTGTGTTCATGGGTCTCCTGGCTTCAGTCTGACAATACTAGACCAGAAATAGCTGCTGACCTAGAGACAGAAACAGACATTGCCATTTCCTAGCTGTGTGGCCCCGACAAGTCTCTTGAACCTCTTTGACCTATTTCTCAACCACAACCCAAGATCCATCCCATCTGGAAATCCACTTTTTAGCAAATGAGACAGGGGTTGTGAACCCACACTGCACAAAGCCATACACAAGTAAATGTTGCATAACTCCAGCCCTTCTGACTTTATAAAAAAGTGAAGTGCCTGTTTTCCTGCCTTGCTAACTCTGACTGCCCCCAGCTCTTTTGCTCGGGGTTCTTTTATCTGGGTGCCTCTTCCACAGCTGCCAACAATAACTCAAGAGACTCTGCCAGCAAAGAAGGGCTGACCACTTCCCAGAGTCCAGAGCAGGAAGACAAGATGATCAGCCCCAGGCCGGGGGAGTACCTTCCAAGTGCTGGCCTTGTCAAAATGCGTGCCTCTTCTCTCTTACAGTGACCAGGACTTTGGGCAGAAAGGATCCGGAGTGAAGGGCTGCCTCTGTTTTAACTCCCTCTCCTCTCTCTCCTCATCTGCACAAAGGCTAGGATAAAAACAATTCCAACCTTGTGGATGAGGCATGTGTTACCTGATACCAGGGCTCATCATAGCACCTGGTTGAGGGTAAACAAAATGTAGCCACCACGATCCACAGCATCCCAGCTGTAGTCCCTAGCTGTTCTCAGAGAGTACACTATACACTGTACCAATTCCTGCCTCCTTTGGGGCCAGGGTCCACCCCTCTCTGTGCCTCAATTTCCCCATGTTTAAAATAGTCATGCAAAGAGTAGCAAACTCATGGTATAATGGTAGGGAACAATGAGTTTGTGCACATAATATGCCAGGAATATGCAGCTGAAGATCTGATACTGCTATCTCCTAAAAACCTTTTCCTGATACCCTCACAAATTGACCACACTCCGGGGCATCTTCCTCTCAGTTTTGCCCCCATACACCCTCTCTTCATCCCTGTTTTCTGTTTCAAAGGTTCCTCCAGTATTTCTCAAGCTTGCAAAATAGCGTCTGGTTTTCAGTCCCATTTAACAAGTCTCTATCCCTGCAAAGGTTAAAGAGTTAAGGGCAGGGGATGTGGCTCAATGGCAAAGCACTTGCCTAGCATTCCCAAAGCCCTGGGTCCCATACATATCATGGCAAAACAAAACAAAAACTTCAAGAATTGTAACCGCCGGGTATCTCTTCCTGGAAAATGTGAATGCCAGAGGAAGAATGACCCAAGGAATAAGAAAAGAGTGCCAGATGCATTCTCAGCAGTGAGTTTGGGCCTGCAAGATCCAGCTGGTAACTTTTTTTTTTTTTTCTCTAGCTGAATTTTTGGGCAAGATAAAAGTAATTCTGCTAACTGCTTGATGCATGGAATAAACTTCCATTTCCTCGTTAGAGTTTTAGGGACAGTGATTTGGACGCAATGGGGGAAACATCAATGAAATCCAAAGAACCAGCGAAGAAAGGAGGGACAACTGATTATCTTCTCATCTTGCCTGTGAGTGCTGATTGCATTATCAGTTATCACGGCTCCTGCTTTCACCTGGGAAAAGCATCTTAGGATGTTGAGTTGATGAAATGCCCCAAACATCAGAGCTGGGAATACAGCCTGATTTGGCCAAATCTCATATGCATGTGCCTCTAATCTCTCTGCAATCCTTTCGCAGGAATAGTGTAAAAGCTGAACAAGACATTCCAGCCAACCCCAGGCACACAGGACACGGACACCCCTGCCCCAGCCCTGAGATGAAATCATTCAAAGGCAGGTGTCTGAGGGACAGAAGGGCCAACATTCATGATCTTGATTTTTTTTTTTTTTTTTGGTACGGGCAAATTGAATTCGGGTCCTTGCGCTTGCAAGACAGGTCACTGAACCACTGAGCTAAATTCCCGGCCCTTAAATATTTTTTTTGTTTGTTTTTGTTTTTTTTGTACTAGGGATCGAACTCGGGTCTTTGCACTTGTGAGGCAGGTGGCAGAACCACTGAGCTAAATCCCCGGCCCAACATTCATGCTAATGACACAGTTCCTGGCCAGGGTGACTTTGTTCACTTGTACACACACACACACACACACCCCAAGTGAACAGCAGAACACCTCTCAGGAAGATGACCCAGTTGGAAGGGATGTTAAGTGTTGTCTCGTCTGCCTGGTCTCATCTCCATTCACAGAAGAGAACACTGAGGTCCAGAACAAGGGACAGACCCACCCTCCTATCTGCCCTGTCTCTTTTTTTTTTGTTTCATTTGTCAAATGCCAATCATTTCCCCTCCATTTCATTGTGTTTTAGGATTCAGTGGGAATCACAGGCCCTGCAGTAGCTGCTTAGTAATCTTACGTTCCACCCTCCCTTCCTTACACTGCCTGGCTATGTGACAGCTGTGTTTTCCAGCTTCCTCCTAAACACTCAGTGGGACCACGGGCAACCTAGTGAGTATCAAGGAAGCTGGGAAAGCTGCAAAGGGCTCACTCTTGGGCTTTTCCCTCAGGATAGAAGGTGAGACCTTGGAGGGCTTATTCATTTGTCCATTTATTCAACAAACTCAGTCTGCCACTGTTAGAGGCATTTGGAGTCTCCATAGTGAATATAACATTTATTGAAAGAGACAGATCTTAATAAATCATTATACTCATAATCATTTAATTTAAAAAAGGCAAGCAGGTGGCTGTAGGAATTGATGAGGTGGAATTAAAGGAGCCTGAGCTGGGGGTGACCTGGGAAGGTTTCCTTGAGAAAGGAAGATTTACCCTTAGAAATGAAGGAGAATTAGGGATTTGCCCAACAATAAGTGGGGTTAGAAGTGAGGGCCGGAGAGACCAGCCCAGAAAGAAGAGGCAACATGTGCAAAGGTCCTGGGGGAGAAGGCACCTGCCATAGAGTCAGCAAGAGGTCCGAGAGGCCGGTTTTGTGCTTGTCTACTTACTTGTTTTTGCTTAGCTGGGGGGTGGCCACAAAGACCTGGGGAGGAAGCACTGCTAGAGTGAGTGGCCATGGAGTCAGTCCGTCACCCTGATGGGACCAGAGGTGTCAGTGAGACAGCCTCAGGAAGGGACCTCCAACCCCCAGGGTTAACAACCCGCCCACCAAAGCCTCTGCTACACAAGGGAAAGGTACCCTTATGTCCCCAAGGACCAAGCCTTCAGGTCCAGCAGGAAATCCAGGAGACTGCAGGTCTCTTAGGCTTCCTGCCACACTAATCCTGCTCCTGGGGCACTGCGCACAACTGGAAGGGTTTGGGTGCTGGAGTTACGGCTGAGTTTGAAGTCTGACGTTGTATTAGCTGTGCAACCTTAGGCAAATCTCTTACTGTCTCTGTGTCCTGATTTATAAGGCAAGGATAACAGTTTATTCATTGGTGATGGTTTCTCACTGATGAAGATTAAGTGAGAAACTGGGTGTATCTATAACCAGAGCACTGTGGGAGGCTGAGACAAGAAGATTGCAAGTTAGAGCCCAGCCCGGGCAATTGATCAACCTAGAGAGACCCTGTTTCAAATATTTAAAAAGTTGTAAGGGGTTGGGGATGTAGCTCAGTGTGAAGACCCTGGATTCAGCCTCCAACACTGAAAAAAATTAAAGGAGAAAATATTCGCACACACAGGACACATTAAGGGGCGGCCTCAGTAAAAGCAAGCTCGATGATGACTTCAACAGTATCATCAGTAGGTGCATAGCCTTTGGTTTCCATCGACAAGGTTCCAGCAGTCGAGCTAAGCATTTTCGATGCCTTACCCCGAATGTTCCCACAAGTTTAGTCTAATGACACCCTTTTCTAAACGAAGAAACGGGCTCCGAGGAATTAAGTGACATGGCTACTTAGTGACAGAGTAAGGATTCAGGGTTCCCAAGGCAGTCCACCTTCCGGATTTCTATTCCAAATTGCAGCCTCTCATCAAAATCCCGTAAAACCCTGTTAATTACGACAAATGAGGATGCGATTGGCACACACACTACCTGTTCATTGATTTGCGGAGTTTTAATATCTTGCCTTGCCCCAGGAGAACTCTCCAGGGGACCATGATTACCATACAATTCTTGGGGGAAAATGAAACAACAGCTGGCGCTGCCA